ATATCAAATCAGGTTATTCCAACATAATCCATCGTAATTCAATTTTAATAAATAATATGTGCTCATTTTCAATCGCTTCGCACGGAAATAATTTAGATTCAAATTAGATTTAGAGATACTATGGCATAGCATGTGCGTTATTGAATTGAATAATTAAAAAAAATGTGTACATGTATAATTTCAGGCGATGCTCACGGTAACAACACAACCGTAACACGGCGATATTACAATTTTCTTTGCTTTGGAATATGTTTTTTTCTGTCTTTTTTTCCTTCAAAGAGGTTGTCATGGTTCAGATTTAATATATATGATGTTCAATATTCAATGGTCATATTACTGCTTTATGTGGATTGAATTCCACCGCAATCCTTTCCAGAACAAAAACAGAATGTTTGGAGTCTTAAAAAGAAAGAGCCAAGACAGGCTTGTCCATTCGATGTAGCATAATCCTTTCGGCATCATCTGCACACTCATTTATCATCTCCTGTACATTCTTTTTAATTATGCGTGAAGAAACCAAATCAACAGAGCACACACAAAGCAATACTCATGTGCATGTGCGGTAAGGCCAGAGACTTTCTTCAATTATACGACTGTCGAAGCGGTCAAAATCATAAATCAGAGGCAAAAAAATCTCTCTATTTGGGAGAAAAAGCCGAAAAATTATGATGAAAATGGCCAGCAGTTATGGAAACTCCGTTATGCATAATAAGAGACATTCAAATGCGACGAATGACATCTGACGAAAGACAATTTATAATAATTTTCTCTTTCTCTTCTCGCCTTTTTCCTCTTCTTTATTGAAGGGAAAAACTGTCCATTCCGTGTATTGTTCACAGCTTCTTTTGTGTATTTTTGGTTTCATTACATTTGGAAGTGATCTTGTTGCAAAAACCGAATAGTTTTGGATGGAATGCCAGGCACGGAATGGGATTGCTCTTTAGCAATATTGAGGATGTTTCGCCGAAAAACTAATGTGCACCAGCAGCAGCAATAGCAGTAAAAATCCAAAATCCGAATGGGAGAATTCAAATGGTTTGCAACGAGCGACCGGAAAAAATGCGAAAGATAGAAAAAGATTCTGGAACCATTTGAATGATTAATGATGTTTTGTGTACGTTTTAGTATTCCAAAGTATTAAATCAGGAATTTTCGTTCTTCTTCGAATCGCGCGCTGCTTTCTTTTCTCTCCTTCTCTCGCTCTCTCTCTCGTCTTGTTCAAATTTAAATGTTCTGTTGTTGTCGTGTGTCAGATTTTTTTTTCCTTCTTGTATGTTTGCATACTGCTTTCCGTATTCCGTCCTTTCATTCGCCGCGTGACAAATGTAAAAATGTGTCGTCGACAGGTCTCCTTCAAATTCATAAAAATGTATACATTTCATGCATAAATGTATAAATATTTTCATCATTTTTCTCGCTTTGCAGCACATTCAAATCGCATTTGGCCATGCCAAGGGTTGAAAAACTGATTCGAAATGATTGTTTTTCTCTCTCATATTCTTCTTGTAATTCTTTGATTTTTATTTCGCCAACTTTGACCTCTCCTGGCTTCATTCCATTCCAAAACTATTTAAGGCGCACAGTTTTGGGTGAAATATTTCATTCGGATTCATTAATGCAAAACAAAATTGTGAGTTATTATGCAAAGGAGGAAATCGTTCGGAATTTGGCATCTCAAACCAAACAAAACATGATCAAGCCAATGAACATTTCCCACTAATGTGTGGGTTGAAGATGAAAGAAAATGTGATGTTCACCACATTTACCATATTCAAACCATTAAATGAGCATAATTTTCTAAACAAAGGCGCACAGTTGCTCTGCCAGTTCATTTGAATGGAACAAATCGATTATTTTCATTTAATTTTTTAATTTCCAAACAAAAACCGTGTGCGTTTGATAAAGACATACGTGCCGCATGCAGTGCGCCAGAGTAATATCGATTCAATTTGTAGCAACCTTCGATAATTTGAAGTGAACGATTAGATTTGGAAAATACTATCTTTGAATCGGGGGCTCTGTAACTATTTTCAAATCATTGGTTTATATCTAAAACAGAAACAGAAAAAAATTAGGACACATTATGTAATGGACAAATTCATGAACAGTAAAATTGACTGGGAACGCAAGCACCTGTAACGAATCGATAAGTCGAATGAACGCCTAGAACGTAAACATGGAGAGAGAGAGAGAAAGGAAAACGGCGAAGCGGCTGAAATGTTTGTCTAGAAAAGAAAATGAATCATTAATTATCACATAATCTGCCATCTCAAAGCAATAGGAGAATTCTAAGAGAAAAAAGTGAATCGATTTTCAAACAAAGAAAATTTTGACAAGAACAACAAACCCAAGTGAAGGAAGAGCTCGGACGGTGGTTAAAATTAAAGCATTTGAACAATTTGAAACCTTGACATACAACATAGAAGTAAAGATATGAAAACATAAGTAAAAACACAAGTTCAAAATTCTAAATGAAAAAGCAACCCGTTTCCTGTATTGAGGTTTGAAAAAGACATTTTTCAAATTTTCAAGCCAATCCACATAGCATATTGACGGGTTTTAAGTAGCTAAGAAAAAGAGAAAGGCTGCACTTTGCGGTTTTCCATCGTCCAGACTAGACGAACTTTCATCAATTATGTACAGTTTTTATTTTCTCCTTTTTAAAGTCATTCGAAATCCTTCGCTGGAATGTTAAATGGTGGACAAAGAAATCGAACAACGAAGCTGTTCGAATGATTCGGTGATGAAATTAGACGAAATGAGCGCGGATTAAGTCATATATCAACATGATGCATCAATGAAAGCTAACAATAGATCAACAATAAATATTTACCGTTTATGTGCTTCTGTGATCAGCAAATTCTGAACAATGCTAGCCACCAGATTTCATTGAAACTGCTACAATTTATCAAACAAACACACACTGTAGGCATACACACACACACACAGTTCAAAGTAACTCATCATCGGCATTATTCGAGCGTTCAATCACTTGTTGATAGACGACGCAAAGTGCAGCATTGAAACGGGAATGTGCCCATAAATAACTTTCTAGATTGAGAAAGTACAGAAAACGTGTGAAATAATTGTTAAAATGTTGCTACTCGAAATAATCTTTCATTTTTTTCTCTCTGTCTCGTTCGATTCATGAATATCACCAGAATACGTAAAACTTTACATCAATGGACTCGAACACATTAATTACATTCATGTTTTCGAACAAAGGCCAAGCGAGATAAAGATAAATGAAGAATGGAAATCGGAGGCATATACTGACGAAAATTTATTAATTGCATTAACTGAACCAGAAGCTCATCGCATTGAAAAGCTAAACGTCAAATCGTCGATTGTTATGAGGCAGTTCATTCATAACAATATTTTTTTTGTAAATAGCTTTGGACGTTGTCGGTTGCTATCTCATTATAAATTTCCATTTCAAGTCGAATTTCAAAAAGAAAGAACTTCAACAACCAATTTCATCTATTCATTCACAACGAGCATTTAATTATCTCACTCGCCAAAAACAAACTAATACACGATTTGTTTGAAATTCATTGCATTCACGCATGCCGATTAGATTGCACCTTTTGCATATTGATTAATTCGAAACGGAATTTGAAATTTGAGGAATAAATTTGTGGTTGCATTTCGTAGGGTAAAACATTTTCCAATCAAGCACAGACAATGGAGCAATTTCCCATATGCTCTCGCATTGTTCGTGTTGTCCCGAACAGACCGACACACGGAGAGAGTACCGTTTCAAAGCCGCTGAATTTCGTGTGTAGAGTTTTAAAAGCAAGTTTAAATGCGATTTTGATTGCGTCGCAATTTGCATATTTTGTTTGTAGATTTATCCGCTTGTTTTGTTTCGAATTTTCAGTCTGTGCGCTTGTTGCCAGAGACTGTGCAAACAAATTAAAAGCAACGCAAAACCAACCAACTGCAAAGATCTTTTTCCATTCAAATCGTCGAGGAGATTTGTATCACACACACACCAGCACCGACAGTTATTTTCATACGGATCGCTTTTTAAAATGGTAATCTAGCATCACAAATCCCAATAAGAAAACCAATTCGAAGGTTACGACTATTTTTCGAGCTGAACTTTTCCTTGTTTTCAACAAAACCGAGGGAAAAAATATTAAAATTAGAATTTCAGTATCGAAGCGGAAATTAGTCGATAATTCTTTGCTTAAGTTCAATATGTAAATACAATGTGAGCGCGATTTCTTTCGTCACCCGTCAAAAATAAGAAACATAGACAAAACTCAGTGGATGAGTATGCGTCAAGAGCATAGAACATCGTTGAATCCCGTATTTAATCGGTGTGACTGAAGTCATGTGAAGTGTCAAACGCAACGGATATTGTTTAGTGAGCAATGTTTACATGCCATAGAAAATATTGTCATCGCAAAAATACTTCACCGAATAACTTGAATAGATGCGACGCGCGATAGATGAAGAAAAAAAAGGCGAGAGGAAAAAAAACAAATCAATCATTTTTGAGGCAAGCGAAACGCGGCGAATCAAATTCACAGTGACAACGCAGCAGTGTGAAGTGAAGTGAACGACGGAAGAATTTCCTTCAATTTCGTATATATTTTCCATCGTTTTCAAATTATTTCACAGAGCCCGACTAATACCTGCTCGTGCATCGCACAACCTGCGACTACGATATCAATTCAACAACGAACATTTTTATGATAATAAGCGAATTGATTCTTTCTTTGTTTTTCACTCCCTGAATCGTCTATTTGTTTCCAGTATTAAGCTATCGTCTTCATTTTTAATCGAATCGATAAATTATTTGTCAATTTCAGACAATTCGAAATGCTTCCCATTCTCTCGATTCCAACATTGAAAATGAGAAAGGAAGAAAGAGAAAAAAAACCCTTGGAGTTGTTCAATTTTCTTTAGTCGATTTACTCTTTTATTTTGTCTGCATTTCCATTCAACTGAATTAATTTTGCCCGCGTCGCGTTTTGTTTTTATCTTTGCAGCTGAATTCGTTGCCGAGAATGGATTGCCACGTCGACTGCGCACCGCGTACACAAACGTTCAATTATTGGAATTGGAAAAGGAATTTCATTATAATAAATATTTATGTCGACCACGACGAATCGAAATTGCAGCAAGCTTAGAGCTTACAGAACGACAGGTAAACTTGCAATTGGCATTTCGAAAAAATTTCATTTTAAATTCCCATGGCCATACCGCGAAACGTAATTGAAATTGTCCTCAATTTTGTGTTTGCGGTTCGTTTGGTGTTTTTTTTTCTGGGGATTGATTGCGAAACAAAAGTTTTACATTTTAATGACTTTCGAAAATTGATTTTCAGGTGAAAGTATGGTTTCAAAACCGCCGAATGAAACACAAGCGACAAACATTGTCCAAAACCGACGAAGAAGATAATAAAGATAGTCTCAAAGGTGACGATGATAGTCAGCCAGGCAGTAAGTATTCTTTTCTCCAATTTGATTCAGTTAATCAATCGATTCGAATGTACTTTCATTCAAATTGGAATTACTTTCACAACACTTTACTAACATCGACACAAACTATTTAGAAGATGCCCTAACTCCAGACTCGAGCTCGAAGAAATCTTGCCAAGGATGTGAACTACCGTCGCACGACATTCCCGATTCCACATCGAATTCACGTGGTCACAACAATAACACACCAAGTGCCACCAACAATAACAATAACAAAAGCCTTGGTAACGGTAAGGAAACCTTGAACGCACACATGGAAGATGTCATAAGCTAATTGAAATTCATTGTAATTATTCAATTAGTTACACCAAACTCTTCGTTGGACACGCCGATTTCAAGCAATAACAACAGTGGAAGCAATCATATTAAGGGCAGCACCATCATCAGCGCTGACTCCAGTGTCGCATCGAGCATTAGTCTTGACGAGGACGAAGAAAGCCCAACTAAGGTTAAGAAAAAGGACGAACATCATGTAAGTATTTCATTCGAAATGGAGTTAAATTGCTAGAGCAAAGCGAAAAGTGGAATAAATGAAAAAAAAACTCCTTTGTTATGGCCTTTAAAATAGAAAAATTTAAATGAAATTTTATTTTCTTTGCATATACAGGTATTAAAGAAGGAAATGCCATTAGGAAATGCGAAAAATCCATTTTACAACAATTTCGAAATGCAGCAACGTCGCGATATTTCGTCAGATCAATTTTCATTGCCATCAAATCTAGCAAATGTGCAAGCAACACCGCCGCCGCCACCGGCATCGAATAATAGTGCCATTCACAACAGCAACTACGGTCCAGCTCAAATGTTGATGAAACAAAATCAAAATAATGCTAAAAATCGATTCCCCAACGCAAACGCTGCCGATGCATACTATGGCAGCGGTTATTTTGGCAAACAGTCGAATCCATCGATTGATTACTATGGCAAATATGAGGTTGAATTCGCAGCTCATCAGCAAAAAGGTGCGCTGCCGAATCAAATATCTGCATTTAATCAACAATCGAAGGCTGATTTTGCCGACACAAAACCGCCGGCCGATTTTCATCACGTTAAAGGTGAAATTCATCACGGCATCAAACCCGAATTTGTGCAACAACAACATCACAAAAATATCGAATTCCACCATGGAAAAGCACCGAACTTCCATATAAACCATCAAAACTTTTACAATCATCACGCTGCACCACACGTCACAAATGTCGATGGAGCGCATCAAGTACCATCAATGCAGTACAATGCAAACCAATACTTTCCAAATGAGTATGGAGCAAATAACGACCTAGATGCACCGGCTGCCTACTACGAACAGAAAGCGGCATCGGCTCAACAAAGCTATTATGAGAACATGTACAACGCAGGCGGTAACATTGCTGGAGAGTTCCATAGCGTTAATAATGCCGCGTACGCAACGCCATCTAACGGACAATTGCCGGGTGATCATTGCGATAGCTTTATGTATCCACAGTACTTTGAAGGGAATCATCATGATTCGAATGTTTCGGTTTCGTTGCAATCGTCGCAAGCACAGGCACAGGCCCATAATCACATCGCACACGGGCATAATCCAACACATCAAAATCAACATTTTAATCATGCCGTCGGCGGTCCACACTATCACGGTGCACAACAACATATTAATGGCAACCAACATATTTCGGCTTCACCTATGGACAACTCCAATAGCTCATCCGATTTTAATTTTTTGAGCAACATAGCCAATGATTTCGCACCGGAATACTATCAATTAAGTTAGTTAGAAATGAGCTTTCGACCGAATCAATTTTGAATGCGAATCGATTCTGAGCTGCTGAAGTGATGAGCGGTTCGAGGGGACGAGCATACAATTTCCACTCTAAATTCATAGTTCGTGCATGTGCAGGGTCAAGCCAAATACATGTTTCGAACTAAATCAGGAGTTGATTATATTCAGAAATTTATATCGTTAGTTCTGATACTTTCGAATCCTTCGCTGCGCAGTCATCAAATTGCATATATTCCCGAAAATGCTCACTTAATTTTAGTTGCTAGAAAAGAAACTTGTACATATTTCAACGGCACATGAAATCTATGCGCGAGAAGCGGAAACATTATATTTTCCAAGTTCCACAAAGAAATGCCTAGCATTGTTTTGTTTGTTCAACATTTTTGTATTGTGGTAAAAAAAAATTACAATTTCATACGATTTGATTTCAAAGAAAAAACAATAATTTTACCCAGTTTTATATGTTTACGATTTTGATAACCAGACAATTCTTCGAAAACGTTTATAAAAATGATTTTTTTTTCTTCATCCGAATGGTTTTTCAATTCGTCTCGCGCATAGAGCTGCGGCTATAAATAGAATATTATCATTAAATTTAGCTTCATTTGGCTTTTATCGAGAGTTAAGTTAATTAAGTAATCATCATACACACAGCTGAAGTAAACAACAATTTACATCGTTGATTTACTCTTATGATACAAACTTTGTGTATATTTGATACGGTCATGGAAAAAAGTTGGAATGAATTATTGAGTTTCGACTCTGAACGGTTTTTTTCTCTCTAGAAATGATTGTAATTTTTTGGGGGCTTTTTAAAAAGTGGAACTGTTATCGTGTATTTTTTATGTTTACTTTGTTAGTGATTTCATGTTAAATGCAAACTTCTGTTAATCTATAATAAGATGTAAGAGAGTCTCGCATATTGTTGAACGTTCACATGGAATGAGATTTGTGCATGGGTCATTTGGAAATGTTTTCGACCGGTCAAGTTCACTGAAATCCTCACAAGTCTTTTGTCTAGTTTTCGAATGCCATACGATTTGTCACCGCATTATGACGAATGAGAAAGCGCATCTCATTCACACAAACACACACACACACACTTACACCGTTGAGATTCGGCTTAATCAATGAAATACGTAATATTTGATATTGAATAAACTTTGTAGCTCTTACTCTTGCATCACTTTTTCTAAATTCGTGTAAATATTTGACAGTCTAAAATCATGGTATGAATACAATTTTAAATATAAACCATCTCTTTGGTAGGAAAATTTATCGGTGTAAATGTATGCTTAAAGGGATACACATAAAATACAGAATACACATGGACAAAACCAATCTAACTCTATTTCGCGATCATAAAATTGTCTTTGGAATCTAGCAAATAAGGAAATCGAACTCACTCTATAGAAATTATGTAATATTTTATGGTATTCTCACACAGCTGAAATTAGATTTTACTCTGTAAAACTATTCCTATTTCGAATAGCATTGATAGTGCTAGCAAATCAAAATATCTTTCTCTAAAATGAACATTAACTAATAATCTTAATTCGAATATGGATCCACTTTAGACAAATTTCAAATATACTTAAATGCAAAATAAAGCATCATTTAAAGATATTAATATGAAAAATATACTCACACTTCGTTTCAATTTGATGAATTCAGCTTCACAACGATGTCAATGACATACTCACACATAGTAATGATTAATGGAGAATCTTGTCAAGATTCATTCACTCAGCAAGTACAGCCTTCAATCACAATTGAATGAAGAGTGTTGAATGAAACTCATTCGATTGAGATAGAAAGTTTTGGTATTTATTTGAGGTAAGAAAGGCACTATTTGCTTTTTCAAAAGAATATTTGGTACTTTAAACAAATAGATTCAAAATTAAGTAAAGTTAATTGACTCTAGTTAGCGTCTTTTTTCATCAAGATAGTTTTTTGCGTAAAATAACTCAATTTGCTTTGAATGCACGATGGTAACTTAATGAGAGATGATTTTGGCGAGGGGTTCATTTTTAGTATGAATCGAAATGGAACAAATGTTAATTGAATAGAGGTGTCACATACATTTTAAAACATATTTTGAAATGGTCTAAGCTAAGTACAGGCTAATTTTGTGAATCGAAATTATTCGTAGATCATTTTTTCGGTGTGGAAACGAGCGTTTTACAAATAGTAAACGAAAGTCCAATAGAATATGTTGAATACGAAGAAGGCCGAAGGGAATAGCACACGTGCTCGCCGATCAATCCAGTAGGATATTTCTTGTGGTGTCATCGTTGTCCAACCCTGTCTAATATTCGGATCGGGCGATGCACAGTTGGTGTGGCTCATCTGTAACGTTGTACAACTGGACGATGGCTCCATATTTACACTGATATTGTTGCCATTCTCCTGCATCAAATCGTCCATACTTTGTGTGGTTGTTATCGTTGGTATCTTATTATTATTCGGGAAAGACTAAAAGAAAAAAATTAGTTTGTATTCTGAGCTCAATCGCAGATATCGAAAAACGATGATGACTCACATGAACCGTTAAATAATTATTAAACGTGTTGTTATTCGCCGGTTTATTGCCTTCAAGACTTGAACAAGAGCGTGACTTTTGCAGATTTGTTCCCATATCTTTGCGTGTTGGCCTTGGCGTCAACGTCGACTTTAGAATATATTTGCTGTTTACCTGCACGGAGAGATTGTCATTTGCGATACGTTGAAAAAAAAACTGTGAATGATAAATATGAAACCTGAATGAATGTGTACCTTTTTGAGTTCGATATTGTTCTTGCGTCGCCAAATCGTATTGACGAACGCAAATTCGACTAAGCTTCCAAAAATGAAAAAACAACAACCAAGGAACCAAACTTCCGACATTTTGATGTAGCTGACCTTTGGAAGAGTTTTGCCTTGTGCTGATGCCAACGTGATGAACGTCAACATAGTGCTGGTTCCTAACATAATTCGTGGTGGCGATGCATCTGCTTGCAACCAGAATGATACCCATGAAATGGAAACGATCATAATCGACGGCAGGAAATAATCCATTAGATAATATCCCATCTCTCTTGCCAAATGGACTGTGAAACTCAAAGAGCTATAGCGTCCGGCTAAAAAAATTGATGAAACAATTACAATCGAACATTCTTTTAAATGTTAGATTTGTCCTTACTAAATGCGCCGTGTCTCAAGTCACTTAAATCAGCGTTAATCGTTGTTTCATTTGTCCACATGTTTAACAGAACATATTCAGTGAGATGCAATTCAGGTGCCAATGTGATTGGTGACTTTTCTTCCCAGTGTAATTCCAGCTCAGTCGTGTTGTACATCCCTGAATAGCCGAAATTTAGATTAGCTTAACCTTCGCTTTAGAAAAAAGGATTTGAATTTACTTACAACTCTCGAAGACTGTACTGCATTTTTGTTCGTCAAAGGGGAACTTTTGCAAATTCATCCAGCAGTGAAGTGTCGCTTGAATACGTGTCGAAACAATGACAGTTCCATCGGGTGAAACTGAAGTTAGCACGTCTTTTTCAGCCGTTCCAAGTACCGACGAAGCTCGTTCATTTGCCAAGAAAATGTGTGGCGTCCAAAGGGAATCGCGTAATGCACTCTGGCCCACTATCGGTTCACTACGTTTCGGTGCAACTTTACGGAATACCAATCGGGGGTCGACATATCGCATTTGGAGCAATGCATGCAATTTGAACTGGAGATCATGCGCTTCCAAATTTTGCATGAAATAAATATATGCGCGTGTGTATACGGAAATTGGCCTTCTCGTTCCATTTGTACTGTACGCTGTACAAAGAAAATGATTACAAAATAATAATTATTTACATCACCAATAGCGCCTTATACATATTGAACATATGTTGGTAAACACTTACAGACTGGTCGCTCCAGACGATCATATCGGCAAGTGTGTGTAAGCCGCTTAATAAGCTGCGTTTGCGATAAATTGTCAGCATCCTGTAGCGAAGGGCAATCCGGTTCCGAACTACCAATATTCGAAAAAATGCAATTGAAAATCAGATTATTTTTGGGTCCACGAGGAATGGATCTCAAACTTATATCTTATCTGTGCACGTAAATTTCCCTGTTTACAAATTAAATAAGTGTTCTATAAATTCGCAATTCAACTATTTCGTCGTCTTTTTGCTATACCGAGACAAATATTTGCTCGAAGCAAGTCGTGTTACTTGGTTCTATATCTAAATCTAAGTAAATTTTCTTGTAGAAAATAATTTTCACTGATTTCTTTACAAACAAAAGGCTTTGTCGTTTTTATCACAACATTCTGCGATGTTCTGCATGTAATCAGTGTAAGTAAATCTGTTTTAAATGCGAATTTATCGTTATAAACCTTGTGTTTAACATACACTCAACTCGTTGGGTGTCAACAAATTTCACATCTTATTTATATACTCGTGGCAAACACATCGCGATCGCAGAAAAGTAAAAAATAATGTGCTGTACAGTGATCTCATTTTTTGAGTTAATGCCGAGACACAATCGGAATAATCGTTTGGGCTTAATTTTGACTTAATTTTTTTATTAAGAGCAAATTGTAAACGAAATGTGAGTCTTAAATGTTTTGTTGCAGTCGTATGCAAATACGCGGGAATACAAATTGGCTCATTTTATTCAGCTCGCTTGCAAATGAAGGTTCAACTTTTTTTTGTACATCATTGAGAAGAAGTTAATGAATATTATTTCACGACAATGTCAGAACTACTACATAAGAATGATGAATGAACTCACAGAAACCGCTATAATATTCCGCCGAGAAAATGTCACAGATTTATTTCATTCGTCAAATTGATATAGGAAAAAAACATAAAATGCTAAAGACTCTAATTTTAGATCGAATTTTATGTGTGGTTTGATATCAACGTTGATCGTATGCGTGTTCGTGCACTCAATACCCATGTGTTTGAGAGCCAGAGCCAAAGCAGGAGAAATGATCGATAAACACTGTGTTACAACATGAAATGAACTTGGTTACCTTGCCATTGATACACATAATACAAAAGCGACAGTAACCGCGAGAACCGCGTCAATCAATCGATCGAACAAGCAAGCGTACAATTAGTATAGCACGAGCGACACAGCAAATATCGTGGAACCGACGATCGAATTCAACGCAAACTCCATTCATTGCACTGACACAGTTATGTGCGTACGAATATTCATATAATATACACATTTAACATTGTTCAATCGTCAAATTAAGCAAATTTAATCGGAAATTGTTTATGCCGTTGGAAGGAAAGATATTTGCATGGATTTGCTCATTGAGTGCAATAAATTCGTTTATGACGCGCGAATTGTATGGAATGCTTTTCCATTGCATCACAGATTCTTATCATTGACTGAGAATTTATGTATGCAAAGCACGGATCATAAACTAAATACTTTTATGACAACAAAGATGATTTATTGCGTGTTAATTGCTTCTAATTAGTGGAACGTGCCCAGACTTAAGTAGCAGAGTGAAAGAATGTGAAGTTCAAGTTAGAGGAAAGCGCGTACCTGATGATGATTTGACCTTGCTTTTGCTTCGATTCCTTTTCGAGCTCCTTAATTGTTGCATTAACCGAAGCAGGTGGAATCAATTCCAATGGATTAGCGGCGGCCTGTGGAACTTCGGGTTCTGTAATTTCACCTTCCTTGATCGCACTGGAACCATTCGGTTGATTAATTACCACTTGCACAAATGGTGAAGCACTTTTATTGGATTCTTCTTTTAGCGAATGACTCGGTGTCGATTCGTGCGGCTGTTGCGATGAATATAGGTCGATTATCACTTTTGATTCATTCACGGTTACATGTTCTGGTTCGTTTAGCCGATAAGCTGTCGCATCGTTTTCTTTGTTAGATGTGTCATCGAGATCATCATTTGTTTCACTTGTTTGAAAAGCGGCTGCATTTGTTCGGCCTACAGCAAGGGTTATCACGAAAAATAACGGAACAACTCTCCACACAGATGCCATATTTTATGTACAATTTCTTATTGCTTCAATGTTTTCTTTTTTCAAACACAATTTCCGTTCTTATTCCACTATGATCATGAAACACATTTCGACGTATCTGCAATTGTAATTTGGCATTAATTTGCCTTTCTTTTCAAAAACACTCGAAACGAACAATGCAAAGCAGATTGGTTTGAATAAATAAATTCACAAATGGACTCAACAGAACGTTTTGTTTTGCTTACGATTAGAAATATTTCGTTCCTCAAATATAAAATATTTTACAGAAAATATTCGACTCAACATGCATACATTCGAACAATGATCGCGAAAAGAAGGAAAATTACTGAAAGTGTTTCATAAGAAGTTAAATGGGTTAGATGAGAAGTGGCCCATTCGAAAGAAAAATTTGCATAAAATTCTCAGCAGCTAAATGAAGAGGGTCATAGGGTGGCAGAGGCGAACGAGCGAGATTGCAAATGCATTTTGTTATGAATTTATGCAACAAAATGGTGAGGGTTACATGCTGAGAGAGGTAAATGAACTTGTGCGTAAAACGGACGGTTTAGATATGATATTAGTTATATCCAATATCTTTTCAGCAAGTAATTCGCATCTCCGTGTAGTCGCTACGGTAATTACACATCATACGGACTATTTTGATTTATGGCCAAGATCTTATATGGGTAAATAAGGGAGAACTTATATTGTTGCAGTGGTAAATACTGCAGTTTTTACATTTTAAAAGCTAAATTTACGTCCGCTATCGCGATGATCTTGTGCGAATCACTTTGATGGGCAATTATGAAATTGAATTGGTGCGATCATTTCTATACCTTGTGGCTACGTAATTTTTTTCTCTCTTGTATTTACGAAAATGGAAAGCAAAATGGGATAAAAACACAAGCAAAACCATTCGCAAGAAATGAATAACGAAAAAAGACCAGTTGCTCGTATGAATCGAATTAGACGACAATTGAGCAAATATTTGCCGAAAAGATAAAAAGCAGAAAAACAGTAAATAGATTTTGACGGTCTCGCTTTCAGTGGAAAGACAATGAAAATAGAGCCTCTGATAAAAAAAGAAGATAATGGGCCGGGTACACAGATGAAAGAGAAAAATATTAATCGATGTGACTAATCAAATGCGATGCCATCATATCACATTTCAAATAGACATTTGTTGATCATAATTTTCATTATTTGATGAAAAATATGGCAGGCTCTTCGTTTTCAATATTAATGAAGATCATATTTGTCGTCTGTTCAAACATGACGATCATTGAATTGTGACGTAAATGAAACGATATCTTTGAAAAATATACCGAAAATAGATTTATTGCATTAGTCTCATTGTTCTTATTGAGGCTTAGTATCGGCTATAGAATTCACAGCACTTTGATTAACTGGAATAGTTAAGAAAACCAAAATTTTATGGCTATCGACAAAACCACAATAGCAATTGTAATAAGTTTTTTTTCTGCTACCAATTTCCAGTGAATAGACACGGATTTGAGTTTTTTTTTAAATATCGATCATTCAATCAACAGGTGTTGGGCGTACAGCCAAGTTCAAGCTCAACTCACAGTTTCACACTCAATGTAACCTTTGTAATAATTCATTTTTGTCACAACTCTCTCAAGAAACGTGCAGCCAATAATTCAATTAAAGCGAGAGCAAACATTCTAAATCAAACCGAATGAAATCAAAACCCGTGCAATTCAGTCACTTACATTTTTTTCTATGACTTGTTTTGGAAATGCGAATGCACACAAACGAATGAAACGACCGAGCAAATTCACTAATTAAAAATAAATTCAATTCAATCGAACAAATAAAACATTCACTTATTAAGAAAAGTTTGTGCAGCGAATCGATTTTTGGGCTTGAGCTAGAGTGATTATTCCTTCTTGCAGTATTCGCAAAACTCAACTGACTGCTCAATTAAGAGCGTTACATTTGTTATAGGTATTAAAAACGGTTGGCGTTCAGGTTCCTTTATCTCTCTCGGTGTCTGTTTGTAGCAGGCGACATATCGCACACTCAGCTGAGTCAGCATACACACACAAGGTGATTCAATTTTATAAGATACAATCTGTATATCTGGAGTTTGCATTTGTTGTGTTTGCTCTTCTTTCGCTCTCTCTTTTCTCTCTACCTGTTTCTCGATATTTTTTCGCATTTATGATATGGGCGATTCCCATTTATGATACTAATGGATGAAAATATTCGCAATAATCTGAGGGAATCCAACGTCGGCAGAACAAACGGTGAGAGATGGTAACAGACCGAGTGTACATTGTACTTAACCCGATTTCATGTTAATCTAGCACTACTTGCTAATTACCATTTTCCAGCATTATTTCTTCTTCCAATTCCATCCCAAAATCACCGCACATTGGTTAAGGTTAAATTAATTATAGATTTTATTTGTCGAGCAAATATTTAAATGCGCCAATTGGTGTTCCAATTCAAAACCAACAGAAACCGCTTGAATTGAGTTTTGACTGTCTTTCCGTGAAAAATTCCAATATTTAGTCAATATGAAAGTGTGTTTTCCAGAACAGAAGCAAAACCCACTCAATTCATTTGATATTGCATCACTTCGGTGGAGACGACTACTTAAGAAGATTAATCGCATATCTCTTGTGTGTATTCAGAGAGTCATGTGACTCCCGTAAAACAATCAGATGAACTTGATCGCTTCAGCTGAAGTTCCGTGAAGAAAGAAGTGAATGGATGCCGTCAGAGTTTACGCATGAAGAGCTGCGCACCGGTTGGGTAGGGAGCAAAACGGCGTTTGCTACCGTGGCGCTAGGCTATTTCCATACATCGTATGTCTTTGGTGAATGATTTGGCCTTCATTCAGTACAAGGCTCCATCAATCACGTGACTTTTTTCTCTTTCATTTTTATTGTAAAAAAATGAATTTTTTTGATTTGTGTGTATACGCACTGAGTGTCTATTACGTCTTTGCAATGTTTTCAGTTCTCCGTAAGCTGAAAGATACAGTTGAGCCGTTGAGCTGTTGAGCATTTGAAAATAATTTCATAATTGTGACCATATAGGCAAAACAAATATTAACAATTTGTACAAACGTGATTCACGTCATCATGTGGCTCAAAATTTATACTGCATTTTTCGTTCAAACAAGACTTTAGCCACTAATTCGATCCACATTGTTTACACTTGATACTTGCGCACGTGGTTTTTGTCAATAACGGTTCCGTTGCAGTGACTCACTACACCCATTGAGTGTGCTGACAGCAATATGATACCGGAGAACCTATTTGGATATTGATTCAATGCCAAGTGTACTCTGTTGGTCAATGGCCGCTTTCTTTTTTGAAATAGCCAATAAGCAAATGTGTTCAGCAGATTCCGTTGGTTTTTGTTCTCTTCAGTTCAAAAAACTTTTGTAGTTACGTTCTGATATTTCCATTTAGTTTCATTCAAAGCAAATGAATTAAAATCATATAAATCTACAGATGGCACAATCATTCCAAAAAATTTCCTCTTATCTACAAATAAAACCAATCAGTTTCAAAAGCAAATATTTTACGAACGGTAAATTTCTCAACATATCAATTCAGCAAAATTCAGTTTAGTTTTCTTCACTCAAAAGTTCAAATGACCAAATGCTGTGTGTAGCAATACACAGAGGGCATCGGATGGAGTCAACTTGAAAGTTGGAAAGCACTCACGATATCCAAACATGAGATGGCGCTGTGTGAACAACTCAATGTATCCATTTACGAATCAACGATTGCAGCAGCATTTTCTACCTCACCTTTCCCAGTTATTTTTACTTTTGAGGCAAAATTTAATGAGCTTTGCTTGAATGCTAGACTTGGTTTTTGCGAGTTATTCGTCAAAATTAGAAAAAAGAAAAATTATTATCATTTATTATTTAATATAATGAAGATGTGAAAGCTTTGGTATAAACCGATTGTAATATTTTTTGTAATTCGGTTTTCTACCAACATATTCCAATGATAACATATCATATTGTTCCCAAAAACATATTTTTTCATACTTGTATATTTGAATAGCAATTTCTAAATCTAGCGATTTTATTTTAAACATTCATGTATATTTCGGAGCAATAAATCCAAGCTTATTGTGTATTAGCGATGACCCAGGGATGGTTCTTAACATCTGAAAGCGTCAAACGACACTGTGGATCCACAACTATCAGCCTTCTGATCAAATGTCTGGCTGTTTGTGAGAGAAAGTCAGGAAAAGGGTTGAAGTTAGCTTTAATTCTCTTCCAGTACTGATCATCTTTATTTTCTGACTTGAATGCCCATTCACCAACCAGGATATCATAGCACAATACGCCAAGACTCCATACATCGACTTCTTTTGAGTACGGTTCACCATTCATAACTATGATAAAATGAGAAAAAAAATGAAACATTCGCAAAGCCAAAAGGTACGAAAACGATATTTTGTACAAACTTTCCGGTGGTATATAATCAGGAGTTCCACAAATAGTTCTTCGTCGTTGGTTTTGTGCATTTATAGATAAACCAAAATCGGCGATTTTCAATTCATCGTTATATCCAAGCAGCAGGTTTTCTGGTTTGATATCACGGTGAATAATATCACGTTCATGCAAATAACTGAGCGCATCCGCACAGGAATAGATGCAACGTGCAGCAAATTTCTCATCAAAACGTTTCCCCGGCTGTTTATCCAATTTTTTGCGTAAATTGCCATTTGGTGCATGCTCCAAAATTAAATAAATCTATTTCAGTGAGATAAAAATATGCCCGTCCAATGAATGGCTATGTGTATTACCTCGTCACACTGAGTGTGAGTGTGAGTGTGAGTGTGTGTTTTGTACCTTTTTATCATCATGAAAATATCCATAAAATCGTAGAATGTTCCGATGACATAAGTCTCTTTGTATCCCAACTTCACGCCACACCATAATTTCAGCAGTCACATCACGCAATTGTTTTTTCATTGCATACGCATATTTCGTGGCTTTTTCACGCACCAAATAAACTTTGCCGTATTGTCCATGTCCCAGTCGGTGTTCAATAAGAAAATCTGATAACTTCCACGTTGTGTTCTGGGCTATTTTTTGTTCACTTTCCGAGCTAGATGCATGATTGTTGGTGCATCGACGCTTTTCAACGGCTGGAATTTGGACCGCCTCTGAGGACACACCAACGTCAGGCGATTCATCTACTTCACCTTGTTCTTTTCCTTTTTCTGTCTCATTTTTTCCTGAGTTTTTAAACATTTCTTGCAATATCCAACTATTTCACTGAGCAAAAGGTGACTTTCAAACCATGTATCATTTGCATGTTGATTTTCTATTACGTTTGTGTTTACTTAAGTTTGTTTTAATAGACTAATTGTCTTCTCTACAGATCAATCAATCGTATGTGATTAGAATCGTATTTTGATCGTACACCACGAAGTTTAATTTTTAAATAAATCGGCATGGTTCGTTGTATTTGGCTGCACCGTATAATTTTTTCAAATAAACAGTATTCATTTGATCAATACAACTCGAACAAATGAGTTGTTTCCTTGATGAAAGTTTCGTAACAATAAAAATACGAACTCACGAACAGATGATCAAAACCAGGGGCGATTCATACATTTTGTCGCTGCTTGCTATTGGTGTATTGCACAGTGTAAAGTACACATATACACTTTTTATTTTTCTTCACGCAAAATTTCAAACGATCAAATGCTGTGTGTTGCAATACACAGAGGGCATCGACTGGCATCGACTTGAAAGTTGCTAAGCACTCGCTATATCCGAACATGAGATGGCGCTGTGTGAACAGCTCAATGTATCCATTTACGAATCAATGATTGCAGCAGCATTTTCTAGCCCACTTTTTTCAGTTTTTTGTTTTGCTTTGATGCAAAAATGTTGTTCTACGATTAATTTTCAAAAATTAGAAAGGAAGAAAATAACAATCATTTATAACTAATAATATTGAAGATGTGAAATCTTTAATATAAATCGATTGCAATATTTTTTGTTATTAGGTTTTAAGCGTTCATATAGAAATACTAGGCTTACGTCCTCCATTGAAAATATTCCATATTGTAAAAAATATATTCTTATGTATTGTTCAAATAGCAGTTTTGTAAATCTGGCGATTTCATTTATTATTACATTACATGAAAAGCCACCTTTTAATCGGTTAAAAACTACCCAATTTCGTGGTTTGAATTAAAAAAAATAACAATTGAATTCCCATGATGATGACATAGTTGCTGTTGGCTCCTTGTGTGTTCCAGAATTTGATTCCATGGTTATTTATTATGCATTTATGAAGGCGTTAATTCCCGAGTGAGATTGGGTGAAAATTTGAAACTGTATTTCGTCGATGTGGTTTGTTCAAAAACGTAGAAAAAAAATCGATGTCGTCGGTGATATTTGATGTATTTTCAATTGAAGAATTTCCTTTCGATGACAACAATATGTCCCAGCCCGAAAGAATTTCAATGCATCCAATCAATGTAGAATTTTTTCTTTCGCTCGATCCATTACGAAAATTGTGTATGAAAATCTTCACTTTTTCGTGTATGCACGTAACGTGCGGACTGCGTGTTGTTTGATGACAGCACCGAACAAAAAAGATGTGATTATGAGCAAAGAAAACCTCGCTGAAAACGTTGAGTGAATGGAAAATGGCAAAAGTATCAGCTTGTGACCATTTTTTCTGTGCATTAGTTGTGCTTCGGTGATGAAATTCACCAGAAGTGAGATAAAAATATGCCCGTCCAATGAATGGCTATGTGTATTACCTCGTCACACTGAGCGTGTGTGTTGTGTACTTTTTGCTCGATGGTGATCAATCTTAAATTTTCACCGGTATTGTCAAAATCAATGTACAAATTTCTAATGTTATTATTATTATTTTTTTCGGATAGAATGTCCTACTGCAAAAACGAGCATATGCGTGCAAATTCAAGTTACTTTTTCCACACTCCACGACCAGGAGAAAGAAATAGGTAAAATTGTGGTAGCTAAATATTTTAAATGTGATACACAATTTTTCCATTTCGTGATTACCATCAACATCGCATCTCATGCATATTGAATACAATGATGGTGGTACGAAGTGTATCTGAATTTCGATCACTGTTATTATTTAATATTTATAAACGTGTTTGTCCTGGCGAAAAAAGTATTTACAAACTGCGAATGGCTTCCATTTGAAAAAGAAAAAAAATGTTTTAAAAGTTTAATGCAAGCTACTGAAGAGCATAATAGTTCAATTCGAGATGCTGCAAAGATGTAGAAGCGTGAAAGCGACAATAAAAAAATGAAAACATATATATGTAATTCCGCTGTTTCGTGGCAGACACACGAAGCGATAGAATGGAATGAAGACCAATAGAGCCGAACGAAAAATGTGAATGTGCGAGTGTGCGTTGATTCAATTCCCTGTGCCACATTCAAAACGAAAAATCCCATATGTTTGAAAGCTGGACAGGCCGAAGATCGATCTATCTTTCTGTCACCTACAATATACATCTCCCCAGCTCACATATTGGATTCTGTAGAACTTTTTTTCATTTCTCTCTCTCTCTCTCTCTCTCTCTCTCTCTCTCTCTCGTACATGGGAGAATCGAGAAAGTACAAGCACACAATGGAACATTTCTTCTTTCTGTTGCTCTGCTTTTTTCTTTTCTCTGACGCAGACCATTTTCTGTCTACGCTTCATATAATTCCTACAACAATTGAAACGATGGATGAACGTAACTCGGATGCGAATACATTTAGATTGGGAAAATGTATTTATTAACCATGTTCATGTGTAAATATCTTTGTTTGGACGGTTGTACATTTTCGTTCGGTTGGCTCGTTGGCTCGTTGGCACATGAAATGTCATCTGGATTTGTGTCCAAGAATATATACAAACATAGCAAAAGGGGGCATTCATACGCTTCCTCCTTCACAGTGCTCTTTTGTATTTTCATTGAAGAAAAACGTGTTAAAAATGTGAAGACGAATAAATAATTCCAACTTTTCCGGGCCGTTCACATGCATTTTGTTCGCTCCAGATACGTTTCCATCCTACATTTAAATGTCATTTGAAGAAATTGCTCTGAGACGCAATGCTCTTAAATCAAGGCCGAAGGTAAATCGGTTCAATTTATTGTTTCATTAATTTTAACTGGTCAAATATCCAGTTTTTCGAGCTTGAGATATGCATATTTCATGCGTCCAAGTGACGGTGGGCCGTACGCATACTGATTACCGCGTCGGTGTCATTGCTCTAAATTTTACTACACATTTTTATATGTGCGATACACTCGCCTCATTAAATATCACACCAGCATGGCCAGATATTGCATCAGATCCAATTCAGACCAATAATATTACGTATGTGATTCGAATGAATACTGAACCGAATCTATTTCGATTACAGACACACGACACAAAGTCTCTTTAAATGAATTCCGTCGTGTCTCGGATCAAAATCAATAAAATATCCGAATTTATTGCATGGCGAAAGTTTTTATGGCGTTGTAGGCGTTCGATCTATCTATAGTTCACCTGTAAATCGCGTTACTTAGCTAAAGTCCTTTTTCGGTTCAATTTTATCGAATTGGGTGCAGTTAGAGAAGTTGGCCAATTTCAATGGTACAAAAGTTTTACTAATTAGTATCTTTCATACGCACACGCAATTATTGCGGATTAAAACTCGCTCATGAAAGACTAAATGCTTGGCTTAATCTTATTCAATCACTCGACTCATCAAAAAGTGGTTAAAAATATCTCAAATCGCCTTCGAACTGTTTTCTGCTTACTCGATTGCATATTTTTAAAATCATGATTTGAGGAATAGAAAAGAGTAAAAAGAGAAAAACGAAACAGTTATTTAACAGCTACATTAAAGCATTCATTAGCTGTTCGGCTTTATTGCAATTTCGCATTCAGATTATAATTGAAATGAATTCATGAGCAGCAACTTGTTCACCAGTCTTTCGTCGACTGGATTATGACGTACATCACGTATGTCATTCCATTGAAATTGAAAAATTATACCAAAATCGAATGATAAACAGAGTGGCACATTCATTTATTAAGCAGATGCATCGCCGATGTTAAATTACTTCATCATCGTTGATATTGGAAATGATAAACGGTTCCAAGTGCAATCGAAATGAATGAAAACGCCTTCGGCATTTTTGCCACCGCACGCTTCGACACAGTCGCTTCGAAGAAAAAGAATTCGCCGCCGAAATGCAGCGTGTGATGAATGTCACAGCAATCAAAACTAAATGTCATCTTTATTAAAATTGTATTTAAGTGCGAAATTATTGTATTTATGGTTGGAATCATCGAAAAACGAGAAGTTGAGTGCTCGTAATGGCATCGCATAATGGCACCACAGAACGTTTCCATCGCATAACGATATACTTAAAATTCATTCCCAATCACTTATTGATTGCTCATGCTCATTCAATGTGCAAAAAGTCACATATATTTAATTCTTTGCTTGTCGCATTTTCAACGCTTGGCTTCTGTGCGATTACATACGCGCCAGAGATATTAAGCCGCGTCACGTTCAACTGAAGAATAGTGAAAGTTGTTCTTTGTGGAACGTTCGCCTGAACTTGATCTCGAATGCGGAATGCGCAACAACGCGGTAGTTTACGCAAAGCGACGCCGTTTGTCTGCCATCAAATTGGTGGTATAACAACGCCAATTGGCACAAATACCGATTTTATTTTAATTTTCCTCATTCACATTCTGTCGACAGTTTTTTTATCGGCTTGCATTTAGCCATTGTTTTTAAACGATTTACTCGTGATAATCACTTTGTTTTTCTCTTCTTCTCTCCTCATTCGAATAATGCTTCGCCTTGAGATTAATGGTTTTTCGAATTTATTTTGTTCCATTTTTTCATGCTCATGGTTCGTGCGGTGTAAGTAGTATAGCCGAAATGATCAGCTGACATTCTGGTATCATGTAATAAATGACATTGATTCAATTGGGTCGCTCGATTTTAATACCTTGTTCCACGGGATAGTTATTATTTTGTAGGTCAGTTACGTTCTGAAAAACAGGTTTTGAGCAAAACCACAAGATCGATCCTTTCGACTCCAGTATTTAACAATTTTCTTTTCAGTTGCCGCCAGCATATTTTTTTTGACTTAGAGTAATACCAATGATACACACAGAGAAAAATGGTTCAGATTCTTGGTACAATGGATTTTTTTAGTAGGAAAAAGACTAAGAAAAAACGAAAATTAAGATATCTAAGACAAAATTTATTTTTTCAGACAAAATTTGTATGGAAGAAAATAAATTTTGTTCAAGATATCTTAATTTTGGATTTTTTTAACGAAAAAAAATCCATTGTACCAAAAATCTGAACCATTCTTCCCTGTATGTATGATTGAAATGAATGAAACAAACAAAATTTGAATTTTCGCTCGATTTTTATCTAAGGTTTATTTCAAATGTTTTCGAAAAACTTAATAATTTCACAAAATATTATAATGCAAAATAAAAAAAACATTCATCATCACTCATTCAGTCCATTTCAGAACGGAAAAATTCGTTCATGGTTTTCGTTCGCTTCGACATGTAGACAAAATGCCATTTTGTATGTGTGTGCTTGTATTGGCTGGGTTCCTTAGAAGATGGTAAACTTAATGGTAAGCAGCTTTAGCATACAATGGAGCTTGAACCAATTGTTGTTGGAGGACTGGTTGGGCAGCATAGGCAAGTGGTTGGGCTGGCAAAATGGTCTTGGATGCGAGGAGTGGTTGAGCTTGGTAGGCAATTGGTTGTGCTTGGTAGGCAAATGGTTGTGCTTGGTAGGCAAATGGCTGAGCTGGCAAAACGGTCTTGGCGGCGATGACTGCTGGTTGGTGAGCGATTGGAGCAACGGCAACGGCTTTGGTGAGTGGTTCACGGTTTACAACGGCGTTGAATCCGTGGATTGGATCTGAATAAAAAACCAAACAATTATTATTTCATACTGAAGAAAAGACTTTGGAAAATCAGTTTGGTAATGGGCATTACCGGCTGTATAATCAACAATACGGCGGAAACCATCGGCATCAACCACGGTGTATTGTCCTTGAACGACATCTCCTGAGCGAGTTTCTTGTTGGGTCTTTGCATCACCGGTCAATGAATCCTATTAAATGAAGTTTACGATTTAAAACCAACTCAAAATTTAAGGAAACGAGTAAAAGGTGTTAGAGAACTCACATGAATATCGTAGCTGTAGCTGTATTGTGGGTTTGGATCGTATTCATCGTCATGTTTGGCAAGAACTGGGGTTGCGATTTGTTGAAGAACTGGAGCTGGTTGAACGTAACGTTGTTGAATGATGGTGGCAGGTTGGTGAACAACAGCTGGAGCAGCGGGCAACAAGCCGGCGTTTGCAACTGCAATCAATACAGCGAATGCAACGAACTGAAAACAAAGAAACAAACAGTTGTCGATAAAATTCGATTTCAAACACTAAAACTTTAACTTTAACTGGATTTCTTCAATTTCAATTACTTTGAATGCCATTTTGTAGTTTTTTTTCAAGTGAACTCACTGAACAGTCAGAACTGAATGATTTTCTGAGCTGCCGGTCGAACTATTTATACCCAAAATTATAGCAATAAGCGGCTCGTAAGCGGCTCTGTAATTGAATTACACGCAACAATGCACATATGCAAAAATTACACGGCGTATTTTTAAAGCTATTCGTTTAAGTGAGCTGAAAACAAGGCGCAAGGCAATGTTGTTCGTTTGCATATGGCACGCATGTGTATACAAGCAACTCGCCGCAGAAATGCACAGCAACATGATGAAATGGTCTCGATCGACGTCGATCGTATCACATATCACACAAACAGAGGTCCAACACGCACATAAATGCGCGCGCAAACAATGATCACCTCCACAGCAGATCCGCATAGTCGAACCATGCTGTTAACGTGCACAAGAATTTCACGTGCGACATTCAATTCATTGAATTCAATATGCGGATGAAATTACGTGATCATTAAAAAACGGGTTATTTCACATAATATCGGCGCATTGTGTACCGCATACCATTTTTCTCTTTACCTTTCAGCAAAAGCACTACACCAAATTGGACAATACATAGATCAACGCGCGAGCCAATCACATGGTTATCACATCTGTTCGCCGATATGCCATTTATCACATTGGCATGAAACTGAAAGTCGCGTCTGCATTTTGTTCTTATTGCGCAACACATTTTGCGTGCATTTACATGAAAAACTAATTATATTAAATTAAGAGAATGAACGAGAAAAAATGAGATCGTTTCGAGCATAAAATGTATTCTGACCCAATTTGCAATTGTTGTACAACATTCTGTTTGTTTTGTTCTTCTTTAGTTTCGAAAATGCCAACAATTTGTAATGCTTTTCTTGGTTGCTTTTCAAGGTGCTTCAGCATGCTCAAAGCAAACGAAGATCTTGCGGTTAAAAATGGATATGGTTTCATCATTTCGAGTGCAATCGCTCGACTTCAATATAATCTCATTTATCATGGACTGATGCACCCGTTAAAAACCAGATCAAGTGATAAAAGTTCAAGTTCAAATCGGTAACATTAATTTATCGGCAATTCATTTAGGAGGATGACTTGAAATATTACTTTTACTTGCATATGATACCAGACTGGAGCCGACCATGGCATGGTTTAATTGTGTTACCATTCAAAATGTCCAAATCAATGTGGTTCAGTTCAAAATTCACTTTTTAACAAGATTATTAATTCATAATTAGGAGCACGGAGATCAGAACCGTTTACATTCGGTAGTTCCATCATCAACAAATCGTCATCCAAGCAGCTCATTTATCTTATTTGTCGCATTCGGTTAAGTGAAATTGGTGTGAAAGTCAATGAGAAACCACTTTGGCTTTGAACCTTGCGTCCTTGACGAAACGAAACTGCGAAGCAACCAGAACGCTTAGTCATATCGATCACTGAAATGTCTATGTTCGATGAATGCGCCTCAGGTAAATACATACCCGCTTGATTTACGAGGCTTATATTACGATGTTACGATTATGTCTTTCTAATAAGCAATGTCGATACTTACAAGCGTATGCTCAACGATTGATGCTTACTCAATGCTCAATTGCGGCTAATCTATTCGATCGTGTTTGTGCTTACCTCTTTCAATTTAAGGTTTTGGATGCATACGCCACTCGCAGACAACGAAGCTTAAGCGATGCAATGCGAGAGGCATAAAAAAAGAGACATTTGTGCTCATGCCGAGAAGAGCGCTACACGGATAACCAAAACTGTTTCCCAGTGGGGATTCTGTCAAATGAATACACATACCAATCATTTTGAATCGTCTGCATTTCTTTAGTTACTTTCTAAATTGTTTGCTTTATTGTTGCTATTTTTCCTCAAATTCACCTAAACCATTATCGATGACTTCCCAAAAGGATAAAAGGAAACATATTGTTTGAGGCACAGGAACAAATCGAAATGTCGATTAGAAACGTTTTGTACGGAAATTTGAGTGAAAGGTCTTCTTATTCCAGAATTTTTAGAATGAAATTCATTCGGTGAAATTAAATAGAAAATTGAAATAGAACTAAAGTTTTATATCATAAGGTGTCGTTTATATTTATTTGATCAAATTCTTAAACTTTATTATATAATATTAACGAAAATCCACAAAAGAAAATAAATAAAATGGAATATTCATCGATAAAAACATAGTATCGAATCAAATATAGGACGGATTATTATTTGTAATTAGTATTTTATCTTACGTTATTTTCGATGTTATCGCTCTGAAATAGAAATATCGAAATCATTGGAAGTAATGAACAAAGGATTCGTGGAAGTCAGTGTTCAGTTTGACAAGAACTAAACAGAATGTAATGAAGATGTTTACAGCATCAACCAAGAGGTAAGTGAATATAGATTTTTTGCGTTCGTTCATCGAATGGGCATGTGGTGAGACATTTCGAGATGATGGTATGATTGACAGACGAGGAACGAAGAAAAGAGAAGAAAAGGTAAAATAAAATATTATCAATTTTTTTTTCTGATGACAACAGGAAACCAATGTGCGATGTCGAATTCTTGGTATTGACTCGTTTTTTTTCTTTTCACTTACGTAAATGTGTCAACGTTCAATTATGGAGAATCGAATGTTAAATTGTACCTTTGCATATTATGAACTGTGTCCATGTTCCAGCATCACTTTTAGTATTTATCATTGAGTCTTGTCTTCTTCTTTCAAGACACATGAAATATTAGCCATCCCAAGAAATTATGAAGGAATAACAAAAATGAATTTCTTTTTCGCTTCAATCATACTTTCAGGTAATAAAGAGACAAAATGTGAAAGATCAACATTCACACTCCCCGGTGAGCGAAAACATATCCAAAACTATTGATATTTTGGTTGTCATTTTTTTTGCTTCATCTTTCGCTCTCTGCAAGTGGTTTGGTTTGACAGGAGAAAGGAAAAAGTCTGAATCGCACAATACATTCAAAAGTGACACTAAAGCCACAACAACCGTTGATTTCTTAATCCTTTTTATTCATGTTTTGTTGTTTACCCTATGTTTTCCTTCCAAAATTATCGACTTTAGCCATAATGTTTGTTTTCATATTTTTACCACAAACTCAGAATAATGCAAAAAATACAATTCATTGTTTAAATTTTCACTCGAAATCAAAATATTTGCTAATAAAAATATACGTGCCTCAAAATGGCAAACAAACTATTATCCATGCATAAGACTTTTCACACATTTTCATTTTGCATTTGCAAAACTACAGAATATAAATGACAAATTTGATTTGATATAAATGCGCTATGAAGTTAACAAAATTTGATTTCAATATTTCTCTTCGGTTTATTTTATTGGTGCAATTCGGATGCCGTAGCTCCGCCTCTTTGAGTACTCCGTCTCACGAAAAACAATTGTTTTGAACAGACTCACATCATCTCATTCTGGTCCACTTGAAACGATAACTCAATTCAACGATTTTTCCATGTGCGGACAGTGAGCAATATTAACTGAACACATATAGTCGTTTCGCTCTAACCAACACATGAACAATATATAAAGAAGAAGATGTATTTTTGAACCCTGGTGAAAAAATTGCCAAGTAGGTTTCGACTGGTTCGATACTGTACGATTCTCCTCACTTTGTCGGTCGTACTTTGTTCACGATTTGTGTTTTATGCATTTTTCTATTGGTGATTTCCGAATAAGTATTGACAAAATGGGTGTAAATGAATTGTTAGCAGCGAGGAAACAATAAAAAAATATTACCTCATTGACTACCAACTGGTTCCTGAAAACAGAAAATAGTCTCCAGATTCAAATCCATAATTCATTGCACTTATTCCAGACAATTCATACAAAAATCACCACACGCACACATTGTTGAATTCATTCAAACTTATTTATTTTCCACTTGGGCAGGAAGATAAGCACGAAACACTGCGCAGAGAGGCGGTGTTGTCAATGCGAATGGGACGGCAATATAGATTGAATCATTGTGCATGGACGAAAAAAGGTGTAAGAAAAGAGTGAAGCGATAGAAAATACGGTTTAGTTGCTTACAAAAAGTCGTAACAAGCTGAAGCGGTCAAACCACGAAACTAATAATCGCAGTATTATTGGGTGCTGAGGAACAGGCACACGTTTTTTCAAGCGATTAGGAAGTAGAAGTTTGCTAACACGGTTTTGAGAATTTCGTTTCGAGAACTTCAAGTTTTGTGTTAAAATGTAATATCTTATATTTTCCAAATATTTCATTCGAATTGAGTGAATTTTGTGAAGAAAAAATACATAGTTTGTTATTGCTTGAATTGAATTTCAATGCATCGAAGTGAAAAGTTCTGACTGTTGAAGAAAAAAATAATCCTGAAAATAAGTGAAGTGATTTGAAATCGTAAAAAAATATGATGGACATTGGAATGTACGGCAGTGATCATTATCAAGTTGGTGAAATGGCATCAACAAGTTCGGCATACAATTACTATCCAAACTATCACAATCACTCGCATTTGCATCATCATCATCATATGCATCACAATCCGACGGCCGAAATTTTGTCCGGTTTCTCTGCTCAAAGTCACGCACCAAATCAAACATCATCCGTAATCAATACGTCGAATCATTCGTTGACCATGTATCATCATGAGTATGGACTGTCAATGTCGAATAATGAGCACAATTTTTATGACACCGACAGCAATATGGTGCCACCGTATTATCAGAATCAATCGACATCAGGTGAACACCATGCACTCTCGTCTTCATCGCACCAAACGACGCCCACTTCAGCGTCTTCGTCAAGCAATGATGTTATGATAGAAGCGGCAACAACTCACATAATCAGTTCTGATAATGGATTAAGCTATACAAATTTAGACTACATGTACAGTTCGGGTCATTCGAATCCGTTATATTTACACCAGCCAGATGATAAATCTGCGATTGCTCATCAATACAATCATACACCTCCAGCTGCCAATCTTGAGAATAATCTGCATCCGCAACAACATTCGGCAATCAATTCACCCGTTTGGCAATCACAACATTCCGCTCCGCATTCGAATCATCCGCATCATGCGTCCGGATATTTGGAGAATCCAGTGAATGCTCATCAAATTGGTGTGGGTCAAGTCACATGCATACAGAATCAATCACCTTTGGGTGCTAGCCCAAATAGTATTCATCAGCGACCTCTGAACAATCGCGGCGAACAAACCACTTCTCAGCAAAACTCTCAAAATCAACCGCCGCACGGGCAAACCGTTCAAACCTACAAATGGATGCAAGTGAAACGGAACGTACCAAAACCACCAGGTATTTGTGATTTTCGTTATTTCATTTACTTACTTGTTCCTAATGAAAATAGAACTGAAAACATGAAAAATCATTAACACAGTGTTCGCACTCCATAAAATGCTAAGCTTTGATAAATGAACAGCAACTTTGATATCAGAATTCGAAATGTGTCGTTGAGAATAAAAATGGGATTAGCCGAAACCGCTCATTTACATGTGAATCATTTTTGTGTTCCTGGTAAGAGATAGAAGACATATGTCTGCTGCAATGTTTTAGAACATTTCAAGATCTTTATCTTTGCTTGAGATACTTGCCCCATATCTTGTACCAGAAACACAAAAATGATTCGTATAAAAACACGCGGTTTCGGCTAATCCCATTTTTATTCTCAACGACACAAATGTTGAACGATTATAGTACTCTCTGAATTTATTATGTACAAAAAAACAGTCTACTATAAAATCATCGTCTGGCTAATTATTTAAACGTCGTCATTTTGCGTAGCGCGTTTTTAATTTACCCAATTCGGTCCCATGAATTGCGTGCACGTCACGATTTCCCGATGTCACCTCATTCCTAACACAAATCCGACTCACATTATGGAACGCAACGCTCGGGACATTTAACCGACATACAAAACAGTGGAAATAATTAGCAATAGAAAAAAAATGTGCATGTAATGGTTGACACTTATTTCATTCACATTTCTTCGGGACTCTTTCCAAATGGCACGTTGATTCTTTGGCTGGCAAGAAATCAATATGAAAATCGGTGCTGCTACTTTGTTGCATTGTTTTGGCGTGTTCGTGATGATTTCTTTGAAAACAATCGGGCAAATTAGATGACCATTTTGTTATTGCGTGTGAAAATTATTTATGGATGCAACGAATCGAATTTGATCAAACCGAAAAAAGCAATTGATTCTTAAATGATTTGACCAATATGTAGGTTTTAATCATTAAACGTTAGTCCTATAAAGGGCATTTTTCAATTTTTTCATTGAGACTTTAAAAAACCGCATTGTTTTTGGTTCTAAATTTCAACCGAAATGTCCAAAATTCAGAAGATATATTATTTAAATTTCGTATTGAATTTCGTATTGTGCCAAATCTTAATTCACTTATTAGAAGCACAAGTTTCATATAACGGCCTAAATAGGTCATACACATCGTACAATGGTGCGATATTTTTCCCATTCGTTGCGTTGAACATGAAGAAAAACCCGCATAGGGTAATCATAATCTCGAAATAATCTAAAAATGTACCCCGCAAGTATAATTCAAGTCAAACGCATAAGCCGATAACACAGCCAACGAAAAGGAAACGTCGTGGCAGCGGTGGCCACATAACATTATGCAAAAAAGGAAAGCGTCAAGAAAGCTGAGTGCACATGAATTAATTTAACATGCGATACTACGTGTTTCGGTGTCGTTGTTGTGTGTGTTTGTAAACATTTGAATAATACTAATTTGCCTCAATTGTGAGCGTTTCTTTTTCGTGAGCACCAAAATAATGGTTGAATAAAAGTAAAATTGTACTTCAATTTCAAAGTGACAAAAAAATCAGCAACAACAAAAAAAAGACTGACTAAAATGAGTCATAATTTGGCTAAATAAATGTCTGCAATTTATTTGCCATTGAAAATAATAATTCGAGTGCAGACGAATAATTCAACAGGAAATAGAGTCAACTGTAATCACGATCGAATCCATGAAAATTGAAAAGCAAATGTACGGCGAGCGTAATGGCATCTGATTAATTGAAAGGTGATCGAAGCAACGTAAGATGTGATAAAAATCATCGACGGGCGACAATATTTGCTTAAGCTGGCTTTAATATGCTCCTTAACCGACGAAAATAACAAAAACAAAGGCACGAACGAACCGCTGGAAATATGGGAAAGAACGAAATGACATGCAAAAGAATCGAAACTTATTGAAAAGGATAAAATCATGAGTTGGAGCGCGAGCCGCTGCCAGTCAACTGGAGACGAGGCAAAAATGAGCATCATCTCGTAAAAACGAGTTTGTGCTTCTGTCAATTATTTTTTGATTTGAATCATTGTCGGATATGCCGACGGTTAATATTTTTTTTTCTGTCATAATTTTGTTTCTCTCGCGTTCTCCTTCACAACGCTTATGCTGCTCGAATGCAGTTCATGTGTTGATGTTTTTTTTTATTCATGTACACATATTTTGTGTCGTTCACAAAAACTCAAACAGAGAAAAAAACTCAAAAATCGAATAAGATCTGGTGTCCAACGGTTCATTCACACCGCCAATACGGAGAAAACAAAGAGAATACAGGAAAAAATTAATGAATAAATTTATTAATGCACATTCGTTAAAGATCTATTGACAGGCAAGTACGTAATAATTTAAAAATTTGAATACGATACATAGAGCTGCCGACAACAGCTCACATCATTTGCATATATCGGCCATTGTTTTTTTATGGTACGGCGATTAAGTGACTGAAATCGATGCTTCAATCGAACAAATAAAATAATTAATAACGAGAGATGCCGGTTAGTCAATCGGTTAGTCAGCTCGAAAAAAATTCTGCCATGAGATATTTGCTCAACGTCACACGTTCTTCTCCAGAATAGATTTTGTGAGATTGAGTTTTGTTCATAGGAATGCAAAGTCAATCGCAATAGCGGATGTAAGCATTTCCTTATCGACGTTCTTTATTCCCGCACTGAGAATGTATCAAACATCACTTTGGAATGATAAAATTATTATTGAAATTGATTCCGATGTCACTCCTTAAAATCCACTCGACGGTAAGTGTGCGAAGCAGTAAAAGGGCTACGAATACGAACGAAACGGAATGAAGAGGTATATTCAGTCGAACAAAATCTGATCATTATTTTGTGAAGTTTTTGAGCCACTGATTCGATATGACGTGCCCAGTGGTCAGTCGTCGATATCAGTTCATTTCATTTATTTATCGCATTCTTCAGTTTTCTGGTTGTGAATTACAACCATTCTCAGTGTTTTTTTCTCCACGTTCGAATTTCGATTTTAGTTTTAGACACGCATTAAATGAACAAATAATAACGACCAGAAATAATGTGCAACGGATATAATACGACTGTGAACAAGTTCACATGTAATTTTAATTTTAGTTGACATTCAACTCAAATCTGCATGCAAATGCGTGTACTTGGATATTGAGAAAACACTTCTTCATTACTGAATCCGATTTGAGAGGTGTAAATGTGATAAACATGGAAATTAAATTTAAAATCAATCCATTCCATTTTTTTCGGCCAAATAATTCGATATTTCAATCGAACAAGCGTCAACTCAATTATTTTCGGTCGTGCCACGTTTTAGCAAAATAAATTCCACGTTGAGAAAGTCTTATCTGAGTGAAGTAATGTCATCATCACTTTTTTTCAAAAATAAGTGCACTTCTCAACTAACATATATATTCCATATGTTTCAATGACTGTCTCCATTTTGATTTGATAGAAAAAAAATCAGACAATATTACAGTAGCCAAGTGAATATTTGAAAAAAAAAGTAACAATCAAATATTATTGACATTTGCCATCTAATCAGTATTCAAAGAGCTGAAATAACATGTTTTATCGATTTGATCAACGCCAGAAGTGCTGATAAACGAAATGAAAGCGTGTTTTTATTCGAAGCCGCTTTTTTAGATTGATAAAAAAAAAGTCTTGATAGTTGTCGACGTGATTTTCCAAGAATATTTCATCTCTGTTTTTGTGGTTTCCACCGCGACAAAGTGATTTTTTTTAAATCGAAGTTAGGTATCATCTTCTATTTTTATTGTGATGAGTAATAGAGTGAAATTTTGCGAATTTTGATGAAATTGACAATTTGCCAAATATGAATAGAAATTTATTCTTTCTTAAGGGTAAAATTGAGTCATCCCAATGGAGTAGCCGCACTCTCAGGCCGATCTGAATGTTTTTCCTATTTCCGTTGCATGCAAACAAGATTGTGATGAAAGGCTGACCCAGAGAATGGAGGCGAAAGTGGCTAATGTTGTTTTCATGTAATGTTATATGGCGTCGAGTCCCGATGTTTATTTTAAGACGACACTCGACTAAGAGAGCTCCGTTTCGACGTTCGATTTCACTGTAATGCACACAGACACTGAGCGTATCAGGTGTTTCAATAGAAAGAAAAACGAGACCAAACACATTTTTTTTCGTAAATCATGATCGGCGTCTGAGGCCCATATAAAAATTATCGTCACACATACAAATGCACACACAAACGATTCCAATTTCCCGTTCGACACGACGCCCGCACATCACACAATCATTATTATATAAACTATGATTTAATCTAAAAATGAAATGAGCGTGTTCGAGATATGATCGTGTAAAAATATTTAGGTAAATATTATGCAACGTGCATAGTAAATTGATATTGTTTGCACAGTGAAGATAGTGTGTTTCTCTATTTTGTCATTTAAATATTTGCTTTCAAGTAGAAACGCGCGACGTTGCCTGTTAATGCACATAAGCTGATAATGAAATAGTTGTGCGGTGTGCCGGTCGTCGTTTTGTTTGGCTAGCTCATGGCTCTTGGGATATATATCGTTTCGATCCGTATCGATTTAGACTAATTTCATGAAAATTGAGATTGAAATCTGTCAAGATCGGAAAATGCCACTTGAAATGAAAATTTTAAGAGCTCTAAAATAAATCCAATCCCAAACCCCAGGATATTTATTGATGCATTGTAGAATAAATGGCAATGGCAACATCGTTTCGACGACAACATTCTCTTTTTTCTCTTCATTCGTGGTGGTGCAAAATGCATGTCAAATGGTTGCTAGCCAGCCTACTTGAAACTGTTGAAAGGCCTACGAAACGTCTTCATTTTCTCACACCATTTATTTCATTCTCCGTTCCAGTTGAACCATACAAACCGCCTCGAATATTAGAAAGTATCTAAACGAAAGTCCTCGTTCAACGCATTTCTCCAATATGTTTGGTTCTCGTGCATCTGCGCCAAATTTCTATGCCATTCCTA